GGTTAGGAATGTTACAACCAACACTTCAGGATTCTTTTGGATTTTCTATTTAAATGGCCATCATCATCACAGAGCAGCCAGGCTGACCCAAAAGCTTGACTCCGAAAGCTCCATAATTTTGGGGAATGTTTGCACCCATATCCAGATCTAAACATGGCAACCCAGACCTATTGCTGCTTTGTATTCCTTGTATATATCTCACTGGAGGGTTTATTCTGCAATCCAAATCTACATTCTTTAACTCTGTGAAGCACTGTGGGATACAATATCATCAAAAAGAAAAACTGTACTGCAGCAGTGTAATGTGCAGACTAGAATTTAATTAAAAGCTTCCCGTTGCATCTTAGTGGGACATTTGTAACTTGTTTTTATTGCATAGGCATGAACTTCAGGCCTCCTGCAAGGCCATTTAAACATTTTTTCCACAGATGAGCTGAATACTGAGTTAAAAATGCAAATATCTGTGAGTAATATTGATATTCGGGAAGAGGATACTCCTCACATTTACATCCAGTAGAAACCAGGTGCTTGTTTCTGAGGAGACATCTATGAGAGCTGTATTTTTTTCAGCAATGTAAAGCGATGTTTTCCATGTGTCATACACACAGCAGTGTGTTTTTTCTGTCCATCTGAGTTTAATCATACAACATTGCAAGAAGGTCTGTTTCTCTGGGACGGAACTTCTGAACATCTTCAAGAATTGGAGCCACTGGTATAAATCTTTCCGAAAATTAGTATCCAATATAGTTGGCCTGATGATCCTAAAAACTGAGGCCGCTGTTGGAATTCAGGTGAATGCTTTCCTTCATAAATTTATGAATTGCATTGACAGGGTCACACCCAGATTCCTGTCTTCAAGTGCCACTCTGGGCTTCTCCAGGTTTTGCTTCATCTGCATAACAAGATTAGAGATTGTCCATGGATCTGTCATGTGCAGGGCTGCCGGCAGCGGGTGAGCAAGGGGAAAGTTGCCCCGGGGCCCAGTGATTTAAAAGGGGCCAGGGCTTCTGGCCACCACCACCACTACTGCAGCAACTGGAGCTCTGGGCCCTTTAAATCACCTTCGGAGCCCTGGGCGATGTGGTCCGGGTGATGCTGAGGGCTGGTTGCCCTAACCCAGCCCCTTCTGCCTGAGGTCCTGCCCTTTTTGGGGGAACCTGGAGCTGAGCCCAACCCTCCCACATTGTCACCAGCTCCATATACCAAACACTCAGAACAGCCCTCTGGTTCTCTGTCTGTCCGTGTTTTTTACTCTGTGAGGACTGTGAACTTCAGCCATCACATCAGCCTAAAACGAAAAATCTCCACTAAAAATGTCACAGTGGTTCCTTGCTCCTGTGCTTTAGTCCTTGGTCAGCAGCTTCCCTTTCTTCTGTGATATTTGTACAACACAATATAATAGTCCTATTTCTAACCACTTGGGTATTAAAACCAAGGAAAAATTACCCCGAAAACACCTTTTTTCTCTGTGTTTAGGGAGTTTCCCCAGGCTTTTGCCAGTTCCACCATTCCTCCTATACTTCTGTCTTGGGAGACACACCTAGCAGACACTAAACAGCTTACACAGTATCACAATCCCCAGCAGTGAGGCCTGAGAACTGGCAATGAAACTTAGAAATGCTCTTTGTCATCATCAGTGTTGTTAACTTTACAGCTATGCTGGACACATGCCACTAATGCATGAAAACTGCATGAAGCTTCCCCGTTTAACACTGTAGACCCTTGGCTGCTGAAACATTCCATTATCTTGATTCTGAGCCACCGCAGAATGCAAAAGGCAAGGACCAGGGGGTCTGCACCAGGCAAGGGGGTGGGGCTGTTTGGGAGAAGGAACTTCACAAAACCTACCTCTGTCTTTCAGATGGGAGCCACTGACGAATCAATCGACTCTCTTGAATAGATGATTGGAGTGTAGTTGCCATCTTCTCAGCTGCATTGCTCCTACTTCATGGGTCTTCTTCCAGAGTGGTGCTAATCAGGAGTAAGGCTACGTTTGAGTCATGAGTATTTTTAGTAAAAGTCATGGACAGCAGGTAGGAAGCAAACAAAAATGCATGGTCTGGGGCTTGTCCATATACCCCTGAGTAAACCTTGGGTGGTCTGGGGCACAGGGCAGTCTGGGGGCATAACCGGTGCTCTAGAGGGGGTGGTCCAGAGGCACCACAGATATTTTGGGGAGGCTGCTGCTAGGGGGCAGATGACGGGACATGACTCAGAACCCCCACTGCTGCCTGTATGCGTGGGGGGCTCTGGCCCAAGACCATCATTGCTGCCGGGGAGGAGGAAAATGCAGTGCCCCAATGCGGCTGGCTCAGACTCTGCATGAGCTGCTCAGGCAGCCTCCAGGGCAATCGCATTTGCAGCTGCAGAAGCCATGGAAGTCCCAGAAAGTCATGGAACCTGTGATTTCTATGCCCTCTGTAACAGAATCACAACCTGAATCAGGAGTAAAGTTGTTGAAATCGACACTGTGATTCGTTAAAGAAAATGGCACCAATAGGACACTGCTGTTCAGGAGACGAGAAGCAGGGAGACTCCCAGTCCCACATGCCCCAAGACTGAGTCCCTTTGTTGGGCCCTGCCTCCAGTATGAGGGAGTCTTGTTTGTGCTTAGCTGGGTGAGCTAATTCCTGACACCATCTACCGTCTAGTCACTCAAACACCGTCCGCCAAACTACATCAGCCTTTATTTTGCCTTGCAGGCTAATAATAGGTGCACCCCATGCTTTACATGGGGTATCAGATGCTTAAGAAGAGCACTGACTGGACTAGATCTGGTCTCTGTTTAAAATCAGGCCAGGGTCTCTATTTACCTTTCTAATGCAGAGCATGATGTTGGGTCTCCCACCTGCTCCTAGGTTAGTTATTACTGGGTAAAAGTGGCACAGTCTCACACAGTAGCAGTCTGCATTGTATATTAAAAAACTTTTACAAAGTTTAGATACCACAGATTAGTTTAAAAGATAGAAAATGGATGACACACCACTCCTAACCACTTCCCATTGAAAGCATTGTACACAGCACATCACACAGCATTCAGGGGAAACCCATGTGGTTTCACACTCAAGATAGGCCTGGGGTCTGTTAGAATTTCCTGATTTACCAGGTCCCTCCTGACATTCCTGGGTCCTATGCATTCTGAAGAACACTTCGTGGTTCTCAGTTGAATACAAGGTATAGTTTTCATAGAAACAGAATCTTAGAATACCAGAACTGGAAGGGACCTCAAAAGATGATCAAGTCCTGTCCCCTGCCCTCACGGCAGGACCAAGCACCATTTAGATCATCCCTGATAGATGTCTATCTATCTATTTTTGTTGCTTTTCTCTGGACCTTCTCTAGTTTCTCCACATCTTTCTAGAAATGTGGTGCCCAGAACTGGACACAATATTCCAACTGAGGCCTAATCAGCGCAGAGTAGAGCAGAAGAATGACTTCTCATGTCTTGCTCACAATACTCTTGCTAATGCATCCCAGAATCATGTTTGCTTTTTTTTGCAACAGTGTCACACTGTTGACTCATATTGTGGTCCGCTACGACCCTTAGATCCCTTTCTGCATACTCCTTCCTAGACAGTAGCTTCCCATTCTGTATGTGTGAAACTGATTGTTCCTTCCTAAGTGGAGCACTTTGCATTTGTCCTTATTAATTTTCATCCTGTTTACCTCAGACCATTTCTCTACTTTGTTCAGATCATTTTGAATTATGATCCTATCCTCCAAAGCACTTGCAACCCCTCCCAGCTTTGTATCATCTGCAAACTTAATAAGCGTACTCTCTATGCCAATATCTAAATTGTCGATGAAGTCATTGAACAGAACTGGTCCCAAAACAGACCCCTGTGAACCTCCACTTGTTATGCCCTTCTAGCATGATTGTGAACTGTTAATAACTACTCTCTGAGAATGATTATCCAGCCAGTTATGCACCCATCTTATAGTAGCCCCATCTAGGTTGCATTTCCCTAGTTTATAGATAAGACCATAGAAAGATCATAATTTTTCTATTGAGTACTCAGCTTCTACCTGTCAGGTTGCATCAAAATTCCTTTCATTCCATTGCCAGGCTGTGGTCAGGAGCTCCTGCACTCAGTCGCAGCTCTGGAGAAAAAAGAAAACATCTTGCATTGAACATGCTGCAAGAGGTAAGCCATGAGCTCACCTCTTTGGTATAGCATGTTACTGTAGTCCCCTGACTTTGTTGTTGTTCCAAGTGTCAAGGAACTTCCGCCCTCCCCTTCACTGCTCCCCCCAACCAAGGCACCTGGAGGTAGGAGACTCAGGGCCGGAGCAGTCCTAGAAGGATCAGGCAGAGGGGACAGCCAGCCCTTTTCACCTGCCTTGTGATTCTGTCTTTTTTCTGTATGGTTTTATGCGAAGCAATCCCATTCCAGGCACATCCCATTTTCCCAGCACAGACAAACTACTACATTGCTTTAAGATATTATAAGAGGAAGCTGTATCCTAAATTTGGTGGTCCTAGCTCTCACCACGTAGTAGGAGTTCTTGAACAAATGGACAAACACACAAACAGGAAGACATACAGACAGACAAACTCTCTCAAATATACAGTAGACTAGCGATAGATCAAAACCAAATCACCTGGTCAGAACACCACTGGAATCTGGAAAGGTTGGGATCCAGATTTGAACTATGCAGCTGATAGTTCTTTTAAATGGGCTGAACCAAGGCCTGCATTCGAAGGCTCTTAAACTTACAGGAATATTGACACCCCAATCCCGCTCTGAACTTGGCAACTCAGACCCCTCCCTCTTTCATAATAGCAATGAATTTAGTCCTCTGGCTTCTCCCGCAATGCACCTCTTTATTTTTCAGCTGTGTCTAGGTACGGAAGTAATCCAAATTTCACAATGGAAAATTAACAAACACAAATGTAGTATTTTACTGGGTTTTGTTTTATTTAGTTTGCATTAATCTAGAATAAATAGAAGGCATCTTAAAAGAACATTTTAAAATTGTTTTTACTCTGTACACAGCTCTTCAAAATAAAAATGCAAATATTAATGAGTGATATTGATACGTTGTAAGAGAATACTCCACACATTTACATTCCTGGTTAAGCAGATGCTTCATTATGAAGAGACATAGCTCTGCAGGATTTTGTCCCAACTATAAAAAGCTGTATTTGCTATTGGTGATACAGAGACAAAGGATGCCAACATGCCTGCAGTAGAAGTTGCATGACAAATGCTTGTTTCAGAGTGAAAACTTTCTTAAAGAATGGGAGACAATGATTATGACATTGAACAAGAGGATGACATCACCGTACCAACCATAATTATGCTGGTAATCTTAGTAGCTGAGGATTTTGTCGGGATGTGGATAAATTCCTTCATTGTGGCCATCAATTGCTTTGAACGTATCAAACACAGGGGCCTGTACTCAAGTGACAATATCTTGACTGTTGTGGCATTCTCAAGATTTTGCGTCTTGCTCAAAACAACCTTACAGACTTTTTGCTCAATATTTTACCTAGAGATCTATTACATGGACACCGTGTTCCAAGCCTTCCGAGCTGTGACCTGGTTTCTGAACTCTTCCAATCAATGGTTTGCTGCTTGCTTGGGTGTATTTTACTGTGTGAAAATTGCAAACTTCAGCCACCCCCTTTTCATCTCTCTAAAATTCAGAATCTCCAGATTGGTGCCATGGTTGCTTCTGGTTTCTGTGCTTTTTTCCTTGTTCAGCAGCCTTCCTTTCCTTAATACTCCTTACAAAATACGGTATAATAATTTCAACTCCAGCCTTCGAGGGGTTTATTACACTGTGAAGAATGTCACAGTGGAAACGTCTGTTTCTCACGTACTTTTTATCTGTGGCACTGGATTTTCCGCAGCGTTCACCATATTCATCATTTCAGCCTTTCTCTTGCTGTTCTCTCTCTGGAGACACACCCGGCGGATGCAAAACAACTCCAGCTGTTTTAGGAGCCCTTGCGTGGAGGCCCATATTCAAGCCATGAAAGCCATCATGTCGTTCTTCCTCATCAATGTTGTTAACTTCATAGCTTTGCTGATCTTGTTAACAAATACACTTGAAGAAACCTCTCTTATGGGCATTGCCTGTACAATCATCATAGATGCTTGTCCATCAGTACATTCCATTGTCTTGATTCTGAGCAATCCCAAACTGAAGACCACATTGATTAAAGTTCTGCATTATGCAAAGTGCAAGGGGTGAGGAGGAGAAGGAACATCATAAAATCTATTCTTATCCTTCAGATGGAATCCATTAGAAGAAACTCAGTCTTTTCTATTAAATCTAAGCTCTAAATTCTCTGTTGGTGTGAAATACCACAGATCCATGTGTCTTTCACCTAGATTGTTCTCTCAAACTGGTAGAATGTAAGAGAAACTTCTTTGAACGCAATGGAGCTGCAGTCATGTAAAACCAGTGTCAACAAAAGAATCATTTAGGCCCCCATTTTAGTATGTTTCCTGGTATGTAATTTGCTGTGGTATTTTCAAAAAGACTTCTAGCTCATTGAGGAAATCTAAGAAATAAAAAATAATCTTTCCATAAGACAGTTGTGTTGTCTCTCACTTCAGCTGATTATACCTTCAATTTTCATGGAGATATGAGGCTGCTTCAGAGTTCATGATGGAAATATATTTGTGACTTCTTACAGGATGAATCTCCTGTCTAAAAGACTGCAAGTATCAGGTGATAGATAGCTGCAAATATCTCACTTTATAGCTGAATTGTTTCCCGAGAGAAGTGGAGGAAGCTCCATTGTTCTGAAGCATCTAAAACTGGACTGGACAATGCATTAGAAAATATATCACAGGAAACAGTAGCATTGTCAGGAGCTGAACTAAGTGATTTAATAAGAATTTTCCATTCTTAATTTGTATGTCTTTAGGATCTTATTTTCAAATGCCAAAGCTGACTTCAGTTGTGCAAAGAATTGTGGGATACTTAGGTGAACAGAATTGCGGATAGATTGTTAAAATACATTATTACCATAATTCCCCCTGCCCTCCTCCCCTCCCCCCCCACTTAATATTATACACATAATAACCTTTACTGTTGTGTCATCTATGTATTACATTATGTACTGGCTAACAAGTGTCAAAAATCACCCCAGTAGTATGTGATGTACAATTATAAGTAAATCCATTAATTGTCTCCTGTGGCATTCCAAGTCTGTATAAATACAGAAGTAGTCAACTAGTCTGCTATTCATAAACTGTGTTTCTGAACACAGGTATCATTGGGACCCATCCACCCCCATACCTTGGTCCTGTGTGTACCTGCTTGTGCCTGACAGGGTTCAGCTGGGAGGCTGCACAGACACCTCTGGCTTTGGAGGGCAGAAGCAATGGACCAATTCTAGTCATAGGTGAAAAACGGAGGAGGAGGAGGAATGACATGTCATAAGCAGGGAGAAAAGAGACGTTTGAAAATGAGCCGCAGGTCTGACAGCCTTAGAAATATCAGCAACATCATGTGCAGTCTCCCTGAGTTGCTGGAGGACTTGTTGGATTCTTGGATGTGTATGGAGAAGTCCTACCCTGTCATTCCAGGCACATTTTAGATCAGTCTTTAACAGAGACATCCTTTCTCTCATGTCAGCTGGACAATGGAGTTAAAGGGGTAACCAATCTGATTAAAAATGCCTTCCCCGCCCACTCACTCAGCTTTCAACTCTCCTGTGGTGCCCATAAAGCTCCAGCTAAATAACCTGACTTTCTACTGGAAAAGGAGCAGAAAAAAACAACTTAAACCTCCCTTTCTGATACTCGTATGTCAGAGGAAAAGGATAAAATCTGCCAACAAATCTAGCCCCCCCAAACCCCGCAGATATCTGTCCCTGAAAGGGCGTGTGCCAGAGTCTCAGTGACATGCAGCAGGGGTGTCACTGGTGCTAGAGATTTTAGGAGGAAGGTGCCCAGATACTAGGGTGATGGGCCCCATGATGAAACCCTAACATAGACACAGCACTCAAAGGCCCCACAACACTTTTTGCCGCCCTTTGAAGGCCATGTTCAGAAACAAGGATGGAAAGTTTAAGCGGGATCCTGAAACAAACCAGGAGCCTACGTGCCAAGGATGAGAACGTGACACAAGGCGGGTTTGATCCAACCGTCTTCTGCCCATCTTTGCCCCTTCAGCTAAAGGCATAATACCATTACCTGGAGCAGCCACTAGAGGGGGATGTGGCATTGCTGTACAAGTTCTAACCTCAGCTGCTTGTCTGATGCAGCTTTGGTGAGCTGGGAGATCAGGTTATGTTTACACTGCACTCTACACTTGAAATAAGCGGTGCAATTTGCGCTATGCACATTACATCGCTTATTTTGAGTTTATTTCGAAATAAGCTATTTCAAAATGTGGTGCTGTCTACACAGCACCAAATTTCCAAATAAAGTGCTATTTCGAGACATCCCTTAACCCTCATGGAAGGAGGGTTACCGGGATGTTGAAATACCGTGCCCGCTATTTCGAAAAATATTTCAAAATAACAGGTGGCTTGTGAAGACGCAGGGTAGCTATTTCAGGATACCTCTGGTAGCCCAAAATAACTTTGATGTGTAGACATACCTTAACTGAGCAGCCCCACAACACGCAGGGCTGGCCAGCGGCTGCACGGCGGGAAGGGAACTAAATGGAAGCAGCAAGAAAGGAATTGTAAGGAAGGGAAGCAAGTCAGTGAAAAGGGCACATCGGATTGGGATATTGGGGGAGGGGTTAGGACTGAGGGGCACTTCAGAGTTGGCAGGGGCTAGCAGGGGGCTGTGGATAAGGAAGGGGGGCACAGGCAGAGTTGGGGGACAGCCCAGGGCTGGGGGACTGCAGGGGCACGCAGAGCTGGACACTGTAAAATGTGACGGGTACCATGGAGCCCATGACCTCCCCTTCTGAATTCCAGCTGTGTTCTAGGGTTGGGGATAACTTGAGTGAATCCCCAATCGGTTCCTCCCAAACTAGCAGCGGGAATAGCTGGGTCACGATCCTGGAGCAGCAGCAGCAGAGCTGGGTGTGTGACCCACTGGTACGCCACCTCTGATGCCTCAATCCTGGCCCGCAGCTCCCCCACCGCCGACTATTCCTGTTCTTGGATCTTCTGAGCAAAACCCACCTGCTGTAACTCATTGAGAAACCCAGAATCCATGATCCCTCTGTAGTCTCCTCAGCTGCTGGGCTGCTACTGAGACTGGAGCTTCCTGCCAAGCCTGGGCAACAAGGGAATCCAGTGCCAGCTCTGATGCCTAACCAGGCCTGAGCCCCCTCCCCCCCCCGTGACATTTCTTAGCCAGGCCTGAGCCCCCCAGTGCCCAGTTCTAAGAGCCTCTCCCACCATCGCTGCCAACGACTCAGCGCGTCATAGTAGAAGGGGAAGTTGGCGAGGCTGGTTGAGAATGGAGGCAGCGCATAGACCCCGTTGGGCTGCACATTCCACATCACCTGGTTCCCGCTGATGTACAGCCCCGTTGGGCTGCACATTCCACATCACTTGGTTCCCGCTGATGTACAAGTGCATGTGGTTCTGGGTGATGTGATAAAGGAGAAGAGGCTCAAAGAGCCGCGTCACTGACCCTGGGCTGGGCCCTGTGAGGCTCAGCCATGAATGGCGCCCTGCCAAGGACAACAGCTCTGCTGAGTGCAGGCCAGGGATGGGAACCAGCAGGCAGGGCCACACACCACAACAACCTCGGCTAGTGACAGGAGGGCTGAGCTAGGTGGGTCGGGCTCTCACCCCACACAGGGGACCATCTAAGTTAGGAGAAGAGCTGGGTTATGCAGGCATTAGTTAACTTATGTTACCTGGCCTCGGCACAGCCAGTACACCTCCCCAGTGTATATAATATTCCTGGCAATCACAATAACGGAGGCTGCTGAAGGTCTATCTCTACCCGGTTGGAACTATCCCTTAACTTTCTGCAAGGATGTTTAGGTTGGAAATTAGAAAAAATTTCCTGTCAGGGCGGTTAAACACTGGAATAAATTGCCTAGGGAGGATGTGGAATCTCTATCACTGGAGATATTTAAGAGCAGATGAGACAGTCATCTCTCAGGGATGATCTATATGGTACTTGGCTCTGCCATGAGGGCAGGGGACTGGACTTGATCACCTCTCAAGGTCCCTTCCAGTTCTAGTATTCTGTGATTCTATGATTCAGTTCCTGAGAGTTCAGACTAGATGGCTAAGCCATTGCTCCATCTTTAAGAAAAGGACTGATGATTTTCCATGGACCAAGCCTAGTTACAGAACAAAAAATTGTGAATATTAAGGGCCAGCTCCCAAGATCTGCTGATGATTACAACTCCATTGGATTTCAAGTGAGATTGTGGATACCACTCTGGACAGGCCTGGCCTTACGGCAAGGCGAGCAAGGAGGTTGCCTTGGGTCCTGTGCCGTCAGGGCCCACACTGCCCGGTGCCTGCCCACCCGGCTGCTCACTTGCTGCCCTGGCTGGGAACTGCCCGGCCACACAGTGCAGCTAACCACAACATGCCACCTTGGGCCCCGCAAACTCTTTGGCCAGGCCTAACTCTGGATCAGGCCTTGCCAAGGCTGACTGAAGACAACTTCCCCCAAGCAGCTGTTAACTCAGCCTCCCACCTTCTTATGGTGCCACTGCCCTGCTGTCCCCACTGTCTCATCTCTCCCCTCCTCGCACTCACCAGAAGAGGGATTTGTAAGGTCACTTGCAGCCCTTCACTGGCCTCAGGTGTCTCTTGTAAACCAGACATAACTCTTTTTTCAGCTCATAGGGAACAGGCCCTTCACCATTCTAGGGCTGATATGTCTGCCCTCCACCATTCTCTGTTATCTGTCAGGACTGACTTTGTCACAACAGATAGATGGATCCACTACTTCCAGCCGCTTGCCATTAATAGCCATATGTACCAGCCCACACACGGACAAAACACTGGTTCTCGTAAGGCTTCTTTACACATTCATTCACACCAGAGGGATGTCGGTTTTAGACATGCACTAACTGACCTACGTGGACCCTACTGACATATAACATAAGTGTATTTGAAACAGGGCTAAGGTAATGCATGCTAGGGAACCTTCAGGGCACACCAGCAGGGTACACACAAGCCAATTAGCATGCTGCATGCTAGTGCAGACTGTAATTTAACCCTGGAATATGGACTAAAGCATCTCGTAGACAAGCACATAGTTTATATTTCATACTCTAGATGCATTTGGGGTCTGTTAGGGTGTGTCTTCACAGCAGTGTTATTTCAGAATAACGGACATTATTCCGAAATAACAGTGCGAGCGTCTACACAGCAATTCCGTTACTTCGAAATACATTTGAAATAAAGTACGGCTTATTCCAACGTCTGTAAACCTCATTCCATGCCTATAGGCACTGAGGAATAACATCTATTCTGAAATAGCTATTTCAGAATGGCAGTAGCGTGGACGCTCCACTGCTGCAATTTCAAAATAGCTCCTCCTACGGGCCATTCAAAGTAATTACTCCCCAGTGCCTCCTGGGGCTCTAAATCAAGGTAGCACTTCTACATGAGGGAAGCCTGCCTCGGACTAATTTTGAGGCTTCCCTGTAGTGTAGACGTGCTATTTTGAAATAAGCTATTTCGGAGTATTTCTTCCGGAATAGCTTATTTTAAAATAAGCGTGCAATTCAGACATAGCCTTAGTGTCTTTGACTAGCTCGTTGGATGTGAAGACTCTATTGTTTCACAGTCTTTCCTCTGGTTTTCTTTTGAGTAGAGAGTGTATATTTTGCTTGTGCATGGGGTGTCTTTTTCTCAAGCTCTTCTTTCTTGAGTTCCCAGTCTTCATCTGTCTGGTCCAGTTGAATTCCTTTCAATCCTGCCATCACGCGATAGTCCCTGCACTCCACCTCAGCTCTGCAGAAGAAAGAAAAAGTCTTGCCTTAACCACAGTACCCTGCACGGTTACACCACGCTTGTAGGAGTACTATGGATGTCTCCATTCAATAAAACAGTCTAAAACACTGCATATCGGTCATAAAAAAAGTTCAGTTATATATAACCAGCCTAAGTCTATTCCTTTCTACACTGTCTGCTTATTATTTAGCACGAGAGATAATTCAGAACCAAAACACCAGGTCAGAACAGCACAGAAACCTGGGGAAGTTTCCGCCCCAATCTCTTCCTTGCAAGGGGTGGTGTCTCTAAAGTGGAACCAAGCCTGGACCACAATAGCCCTCACTTAATATTGCATCAAAATCCAGATCTGACCTTGGCAATTCAGGCCCACTTCTTTGAAGAAACTTACTGTTCGGCTTTGTTCACTAAGGCAGCTCAGTATAGCATTGTGGGGTACAGTTTGCATGAAAGATGCTATATAAGACTGTGTGGTAGAAGTTCGAATTTTAGACTAGAAACTTAAAGAAAAGTTACTGTAGTGTGCTAGTAGAGCCTGTGGCATTTAGGGATGTTAGCTTGTAGTCGATCACACAATTAATCAATAAGCCTGGGCTTATTGGTTAATCATATGGACTACATACAATTCTTCCTCACCTTGCTGTCTCTGTATCAGAGGCAACAAGTGCAGGGGAGGTGGGTGCCGGTGCCGGTGCCGGTGCCGGTGCCTGTGGGGAGCTGGCTTTTCAGCTGGCTCCCTGTGCATGCCAGCTTCCCTGGAACCGCCTCCCCTTCCTGCCTCCCACAGAGGCAGCAGTGCAGGGCCGGGGAGGAGCAGGCAGGAGCCGGTGCTGCGGGGAGCCGGTTTCCCACCGCTCCTCTCCCTGCTGCCTCTGATAGAGAGGCAGCAGCACAGGGAGTGAAGGGAGCAGGCTGGAGCCAGTACACACAGGAAGTGGCTTTCAAGCTGGCTTCCTGCTCAGATCCGCTGTCATGGAGCTGCCTTCCCTCCCTTGCTGCTGCCTCTTTATCAGAGGCAGTGTGGGAAGGCAGGCGGGAGTTGGTGCTTGCAGGGAGCTAGCTGGCTCTCCCTGAGGACTGGAACCTGCCTGCCCACCCTGTTTGTACATGTGTAACCTGGGGGCAGGGAAGCTTTTTTGGGTAGAGGGCCACTGATGCACAGAAAAATTAGTTGGGGGTTGCACACAAATGAGAAGCCCCCAAAAAAACCAAACCACCTCACTGACGCAGCCCCCGACTGAGAAGGAGAAAGACACTCCCCACATTCCCCTTGCACACCAGAGCCTAGGCGGACATAGGCTAGTAGACTTTGTGTGTTCCAGTCCCGTGATAGGGCGGCAGCGAGGAGAGGGGTGGGGACTGGAGTTCCAGCACTGGCTCCCCTATGCAGATACTCTGACCGTGTACATTCCTCATTAATCCTCAGATGATTCATTAGGAAAAGAAACATATCCACTTGTTTTATTTTGGAGTAGTGCATATTTCTGCCAGACACCAATACAAACATGGCAGGGAGAATGTTTTTTCTGGGACAAAACTTCTGTACAGACTCTAGAATGAGAACCAGCATCTGTAATGTTCCAAATGGGGTATGGCTATTCCATCCAATATAATATTTCTGGCAATCGCAATAACTGAGGCTGGAGAAGAGCTTCCTTGACCCTTCAGGGACTACCCCTTCAGTTCCTAAGAGCTGAGACTTGATAGTTAAACCATTGCTCCATCTTTAAAAAAAAAGGATTTATGATTTTCCATGGAGAAAGCCTAGATTCAGAACAAAAGACTGAGCATACTAAGGTCCAGCTCCTAAAATGTACTGATGATTGCAACTCCGTTGGATTTCAAGAGAGATTGTGGATTCTGGATACCACTCTGGGTCAGGGCCCATCAGGGCTGACAGAAGACAACTTGACCATGGAGTTAGATTTCTCTCCTTGAACAAGAAATGTGGCTTCAACATTAAACACTCTGAAAATGAAGAACACGAAAGCACCAGGTTCTGTACTTCCTTGCACCTTGGTTAGCTATTGGCACCTGTGCAAAGTGGGAGTAAAGGAACCTACAACAGAGAACTTCTGCTTCAGATCAAAACTGATGTAAATTGGATTTTCATCGTTCCAGAGCAAACGCCAGGCCACTGACACAAACATGATACTAAACTCCGAGAGGCTCTGCGAGACAGACCCATAGTCTCCTATAGACAACCACCTAACCTCAAGATGAGTCTTACCAACAACCACAGGACATACCACACTAATACCAACCCTGGAACCTTCCCTTGCAACAAACCCCGTTGCCAGTTTTGTCCACATATTCACTCTGCTGATACCATTATTGGACCTAACCAATTGAGTTATAAGATCCAGAACAGAAATTATGAGATTCCTGCTCATCCATAAATATAATTTATGCTATCATGTGCCGAAAGTGTCCGTCTGCTACGTACATTGGACAAACATCTCAGACACTTCGCCAAAGGATCAATGCCCACAAAACAGATATTAGACAGGATCACAAAGAAAAAACAATTTCTTGCCATTTCAACCAGAAAGGGCATTGTCTCAACGACTTGATTACCTGCATCCTGCTTCAAAGACCTTTTAACACCAGACTTGAATGAGAATCCTCTGAAATGTCATTCATGCTTAAATTCGACGCTTTACGCCTCGGTCTAAACAAAGACATTAATTATCGTATCCATTACAAAGATAGCTTCCCCAATTATCACCTCTAATATCATTAGCTCACAGACATTGACCAACCTCTCTCATCCCCCTTCTGTTCTGAAATTTGATTTGTCCTTGTCATATGTGTTCATTTTTTGATTGTATCCTTTGGAATACATGGTTGTGTCAATTTTCTTCCACTATTTGATCTGAGGAAGTGGGTCTGGCCCACGAAAGCTCATTACCTAATAAACCATCTTGTTAGTCTTTAAAGTGCTACATAGTCCTGTTTTGCATGTGGGATATACAGAGTAGCACAGTGCATCTGCTGCCCTGATTCTAACAGAGCACTGTATGAAGACCTTGGACCTCTGGGACAGAACTTGTGCACATCTTATACAATGGGAAGCAAATGTTGCCTAAGTTGAAATTTTTCCACCTCCACTGTTGGTTTCCTGCCAGTCTCATGAGGTGAAGCAGTTGTTGGCTTTGGGGTAAATGCACTGTCAAAAAGGAGAGGCCTGAACTCAAATGATAAGATCTTGACCATCCTGAGGATGTCCAGCTTTTGCTTCTTGTGCACAGCAGTGTTAAAGGTTTTTGATATGGCAGTCTCTGCTAGCTTCTATCCTAGCACCAATGCATAGCACTCACAGCTATCAGCTGGTTTCTATGCTCTTCCAGCAACCTCACCATTCGCTGCTTATTTACATGTCTTTTAGTGCATGAGAACTGCAAATTTCAGCCGCCTTTCTTTATCCACCTAAACCTGTCAACCTCCAAGCCAACAGCATGATGGCACCTCCTACCTGTGTTTTTATCCTTAGGCAACAGCATCCTTTTCCTCTGTGATATCTACAAAACGCACTGCAATTATTCTGTTCCCGGGCTCTGTGAAAATAATACCATGGGGGTATGTCTACACTACCCCGCTAGTTCGAACTAGCGGGGTAATGTAGGTATACCGCACTTGCAAATGAAGCCCGGGAAATTCAAATCCCGGGCTTCATGTGCAAGTGCGGTATACCTACATTACCCCGCTAGTTCGAACTAGCGGGGTAATGTAGGTATACCGCACTTGCAAATGAAGCCCGGGAAATTCAAATCCCGGGCTTCATGTGCAAGTGCGGTATACCTACATTACCCCGCTAGTTCGAACTAGCGGGGTAATGTAGGTATACCGCACTTGCAAATGAAGCCCGGGAAATTCAAATCCCGGGCTTCATTTGCAAGTGCGGTATGCCTACATTACCCTCCTAGTTCGAACTAGGAGGGTAGTGTAGACATACCCAGGAAGACTTGATCTTGGTGACAAATTCGTTTTTCTTTTCAGTGGCACTGGATTTGCTGTGGCTTTCACTACATTCATCCTTTCTCCCCTTCTCTTCTTCTCTCTTCGAAGTTATGCCCGGCAGATGCAAAACAGGGAAGCCAGTTTCAAGCACCCGAGCACAAAGATCCACATTCAAGAAATAAAAATCATAATGTCCTTCTGTAATGGGTGTGGATCCCACACTGGCCCTGCAAGAGCTGGTTAGGTCAGGAGAGCCCAGTCCGATCATTAGGTTGTAAACAGGGAGCTTTAGGCAGGAGGCAGCTAATTGGAGAGAAGTTCCTCTGTAAAGGGCACAAGTGGTGCTGCTACAAAAGACAGAAATCTGGAAGCAGAGAGAGAAGGTTGCAGTTACTGCCTGGGGAATGGGGGGAGGTTTGGGTTGCCTAAAGTTACTCCCTGGGAGGAGGGAAACAGGCAAACCCAAAGGTGTGGGGAAGGCCCAGAGGTATGGAAGCAGAACAGGGAAAGGCAGCAAGGTCCAGGGAAATGTCCTATCCCCTAGTCCAGTCAAGAACCCACCCCACCCCACATTCAGGGCATCCCTTATCTTGCCTTCCTGATATGGGAGGCAGCTTGATCCCTGGGGCAGACTGTGTTGGCTGCCCAGCTGCTGCCTGAGTAGCCAGCTCCATCCCTGTGGTGGCTGTCTAGCTGCTCACAGGGTGGGCGGGACTCAAGCCTCACCCTGCACATGCCCTATCCACTCCAGAACCCACCTCACCTCCCTACTTTCTGAGGGTCCCTTATCCTATGTTGGCTATGTGGTCACTCCCAGAGTGGGTGGGACTTGAGCTGCCTGGGAGGGTGGGACTTGATTCCACCACCCTCTGCTCCCCAGGCAAATCCCCATGGCCAGTACAGAACCCACCCCCTCTCCCTACCTTCAGGGCATCCCTTATCCTGCCTTCCTAATGCAGGAGCCAGCTCTATCCCTAGGGCAACAGATAGTGGCTGCCAGGCTGCTGAACTCTCCCCCCAGGAGCTTAGGGTCCCTAAGC